CCTATGTTTTCTTGCACTGTTAATTTTAATGTTCTCTGTTTTTATACTTATATTTAGTTTGCAGGAGTAATGACAGACTCTCCCTGCATTTTTAAAATAGAATTTTAAAATAGATTTTTTGCATGTATTACTGCACAGAAACAGATTTATACTGGCTACGCATTATCTTTCTTTAAATACCACAAAACACAATTACACACACAAAGACAACCTAAATAAAAGACAAGCTATCTACATGATTGCTTCCATTACTGCAAAATTACAGCCCAGATGATATCCCAAGCTTTACTGAGCCAGATGGAAAACATTATCATATCAAATGTTATCTATGCATCGGATACACTACACCCACAATGAGATGCATACACAGATCAGAAGCATTTCTACAGAGATCACCAAAGACATTAATATACTGTACTGTGTAAAAGGATACTAGGAGTACGTGATGCTAAAAGAACAAAGGTTTATGATGCAGAACCCTTATTTGTACAGTTTGATACTGAACCAATGTAGTTATCTGGAATATCAAACATCAGTGTTATACTAGAATCATACCAATCACCAACCAAGGTTGGAAAAGACCTAAAAGATCACCCAGTCCAACCATTCACCTATTCCCAATAGCTCCCACTAAACCATGTCCCTCAACACAACATCCAGCCTTTCCTTGAACACCCCCAGGCTCGGTGACTCCACCACCTCCCTGGGCAGTCCATTCCAGTGCCTGACCACCTTTTCTGAAAAGTAATTCTTCCTAATGTCCAGCCTGAATCTCCCCTGCCGTAGCTTGAAGCCATTCCCCCTGGTCCTATCACTAATGACACGAGAGAAGAGGCCGACCCCCAGCTCACTACAACCTCCCTTCAGGAAGTTATAGAGAGCAATGAGGTCTCCCCTGAGCCTCCTCTTCTCCAGGCTGAACAATCCCAGCTCCTTCAGCCTCTCCTCATATGGCCTGTGCTCCAGACCCCTCACCAGCTTTGTTGCCCTCCTTTGAACACGTTCCAGGGCCTCAATATCTTTCTTGCAGTGAGGGGCCCAAAACTGGACACAGTACTCGAGGTGCGGCCTCACCAGTGCTGAGTACAGGGGAACAATCACCTCTCTGCTCCTGCTTGCAACGCTGTTTCTGATGCAAGCCAGGATGCCATTGGCCTTCTTGGCCACCTGGGCACACTGTCGGCTCATGTTCAGCCGAGCATCAATCAATACCCCCAGGTCCATTTCCTCTACGCAGTCCTCCAGCCACACCGCCCCAAGCCTGTAGCGTCGCCTGGGGTTGTTGTGGCCGAAGTGCAGGACCTGGCATTTGGCCTTGTTGAAACTCATCCTATTGGCTTCAGCCCAGCTCTCCAGCCTATCCAGGTCCCTCTGTAGGGCCTCGCTACCCCCAGGCAGATCCACACTTCCAGCCAATTTGGTGTCATCTGCGAATTTACTGAGGGTGCACTCGATGCCCTCATCGAGGTCATCAATAAAGATATTGAAGAGGACAGGCCCCAGCACCGACCCCTGGGGAACACCACTCACAACCGGTCGCCAGCTGGATTTGACTCCATTCACCACCACTCTCTGTGCCTGGCCCTCCAGCCAGCTCCTTACCCAGCCAAGAGTGTATCCATCCAAGCCTCAGGCTGCCAGCTTCTGCAGGAGAATGCTGTGGGAGACAGAGTCAAAGGCTTTGCTGAAGTCTAGGTAGACCACATCAACAGCCTTTCCCTCATCCACCAGATGGGTCACTAGATCATAGAAGGAGATCAGGTTGGTCAAGCAGGACCTGCCCTTCACGAACCCATGCTACTACTACAAACAGTGACTTCATGCTGTTGTTGTCACACTCATAACTAACAGTGTCTTATTGCAATGTTAACATAATGTAAACTCTTATCACAAAAGCAACTGAACTACAGTCTTCACAACACGCTTATGCTCTCCAGTATTTTTCTCTGTCAAAACAAAAAAAAACAACTGAGGAGTAAGAAAGAACAAATTGAGAAATGTCTCCACTGCTGTAAATGCAGCTCATTCAATTGAGTCCTGAACCTAGAACACACTTCTAACAATAAAGCAGCAGTAAGAGATTGTAAAAACTCTAAACGCAAAGTGAGATACTATTTTAGTACTGTTACTGCAATCGTAACCAGCATGCAACTCAACAGCATTGAAACAAACTAAAATACTGAAAATAAACATGACAAAAGGAAAATATTTTGAATGCAGACCGACTGTAAGAAATGGCATGAGTGCTCTGACTTTATCAGCATATCAGTGATAGATGTTTGCACCTAGTAGAAAATATGGCACTGAATTTCTTTGATGCAAAGGTTCAAGAGAGCACATAGACTGTCACTGCAAAACAGCCATCCCTTTTTAGTGAAGTCAGTGTCAGAGCATAATTACCTAAAAATGAATTTGTAGCTTAAATGGCACTGAAAGAAACTTTTGGAAAGATGTTTTACATAAACCTTGAACATATCCGACTTCCCCCTATCCTCAAGGCATTCCAGTAAGCATACTTTTAAAAAAAGAAAAAAATGACAAAACACACTCAAGTAAGACCAAGGCAAACGTAAGATCCGCACTATCAGCCCATTTGAAGAAATCATTCATGTTGCTAGGTCAGGATACGAAAAAGTGCTTACAAACCTGAATACATAACAGTGCAATTTGAAAACTAGACAATGGCTTTACATTTTACTCTCAGCATCAGCTCTGTCCGAACCTTCTATGAATCATGGAAGAAAGAGACAGAAGTAGGATGCTTGAGTAGAGGTGAGCTGCCATTCAAACCTGAAGTACCAAGTTGAAATTCTGTTTATGCTGGGATCTAAACTTTCAGGAAAACAATGAAAAATTGGTAGTGTCACAGCCTGTAACACAGTGAGACCTGGAATGAAACGCCTGAAATTCAAGAGCTGTCCCAATAGTTTTGACTGCCTGATTCTCACAGCCTGTCTTGCATAGCGTGCATATGTGTGGGTATATTAAGGATGTAAAACCTACTGAAATAGTGGTAAGGGAGAGAGACAAATACACAGCATCTCATCCAGACTGCTCATAAGCCACAGGACAAACTATCCCAAAGCTACACTTGAGTTTTAAATGACTCAGTTCATTTCTTCACTCGAGAAGACAGCCCAGAAGAAATACACTGTGTGGATACACATACAGGTCTCTTCAGGAGATTTTCTATTTTATCAGAACTAAAACCAGACCAGTGATTTATTATTCACATTCCAGACACTGATAGTAACACATGACTTCTAATAAACAACCAAACAACTCTCTATAATGCATTCAATAACAGAAGACACTACTAGAGAGACTGAAATATATTCAGTATTTTAGGTTTCCTGTGGCTCTTCTTTGAGCACATTAACATTCAACATACCCAAGTTAATTTCTTTTTCTAATGACATTTCTGATTTACAAACTAAAGGCCACTGTGCACTTTGATAAGCTAAATTATTTTATTTCTTTCTCCATTTGGACAAGCTGGTAAAACTACTTTTCCTAGAGGGAAATAGCAATATTTTTATTTCACTACTTTTTTTTTCTTTCCCAATTACTCTAAGGAGATCAAGAATTTTACTTATCTCCAGCATAACTTTTTGATAATCAAAGAAAAGAAACACCCCCAGAGCCCATTGCTTTATGCTTTTTAATTTAAAAGATAGAAACATATTCTGAAGTATAGAAGTGTAAATTTGTAACAGTTCTCTTTGATGCAGAAGACTGGAGGGAAAAATCTTAATACAGAATATCTAATTCTAGTACTGAAGTTTATATCTCAAACCAAATCACAGCACACAATTATACGCAGTCTTCTACAGCAGTAGACCCCAATATCAAATGTGAGTCTCTTTTGTGAGGTACTGCATTACATGATACATACATACATTATATAACACTTGTGACAAAAGTTTTGCTATGGAACATGCTGAAGGAGGAGGAATCAAATGAGAAGAAGCAATCAGATGAGAGGAAAGAATGTGCAGTTAAACTAAAATAGATGCATACATGGAAAGCCACTGAATTCAAGTTCTACCAAGAAACCTTCTCTAAGTTGCTGCAACAGAAACATTAAAAAAATAAAATCGTGTGAATAAGCTTATCTTTTGAAAGAAACCCACTTAAAGGCAAAAATATACATCATCCATACATCCATATGTGGATTCATCTGAAAGAAGAGCACAGAGTTTATTTGAAAAAGAAATCCTGTTCTGCGCCTCATGTCTGGTCATTTCCCCTGCAAATAAAAACTAAAACATTAAATGGAGTCAAAGAGGGAAGGAGACAGATGTAGTCACTTCCTTTACAAAACAAATAATATCCACCTAAAGAAACCTTTGTTTGGAACATAAACAACCAAAACTGCAAGTGAGATGTAGCATAGAGACGTTTTCCTATTTGAATTTACACAAAAGCAAAGCTTCCAGTAGTCCAGAATGTTGAATGTCACTCCAGCCACAAGTATACACGGAAAAAATTATAGCCAAAACAAAGCACAAAGAGCCATAAAGAGACCTGGAAAGACTTCCAGTGTAACAGGGTGATTCTACACTGAAAGGCCTGAAGTCAAATTCCAGAAGAGAAGGGCTTCTTGCGCTCTTTCTTCTTCTCTGTAATCCCCTGGGTATATACTAGGGTTCACCAGTCCTTTACAGGGAAGAATTTATGAACACCAGAAATTCATTATAAAGAAGTTATTCAGTGGCAATCTAGAAGGTACACGCATGGCTTACAGTTCTCACTTCCTACATCAATTTAAGGTAAAAAAAAAAAAAAAAAAAGTTTCTGATGAAATGATCATGGAAATTACTCATTAAATAACTGTTCTAGAGAATAGTACTCATTAATAAATTGTTCTGTCTCCCATTTGCATACAATATGGCAATTGCTAGACTTACTAGAACATTTCTTAGGTCAAAGTATGTAGCATGGTATATAGATGACATTGTTTTTAAAATTTTAATTTAAATCTTAAAAGGCTCACTTACTGGACGTTTGGATGAAAGTCTGCCAGTCACAGTTCCTGTCTGATTCCATGTAGGGCAAATAAATCCCTGCAGTCAAATAAAACAATACCTCCCATCATCCCCCCAAAAGAGGGTAATTACATACATCTAAAAAGGACATATTTCTCTAGTTAATATAAACTTAATTAAAACTCACTGCAATTAGAAATACAAATCTAAAAAGAAATACTTCCTAATTATACATACATTAAAGTTCTTGAACTGCAAGTACTGCAATCATTTCTTAAGTCTGATGTATTTTAAACACCAAGTTTTAGAGTTGTTTTTAATATATATTACCTTTCTCATACATGTTCTTAGCCCATCCACGTAGGTTGATTTCATCTTACGAACCTGAATTACGTAAGAGCATTAGACAAATGCTTATACATAACAATAAGATTTACACATCAAAAGCCTTAATCTCAAGAGCATGAGTTTGTTTCACAGACTCTTTTAAAAGATAGTTTTACCCTAGGAAAAGTATTTATATACACACACTCACTATTGACCTACTAAAATAAGTTCGTGAAGTGCTAACGTATAGACTAAAGCAGGTCTATGAAGACAACAGCAAAAGTCCTATTGGAATCTTACACCTTATACCTCCCCATCAATGAACCACACAAAAAAGCAGCACAAAAATAGAAGAGTGGATTTTATTTATTTACCTAAATTGAAAACTGATGTACTGAATACCCAAACAAAGTATAAGAGCTAACTAGGTAATTTTGGATTTTCAGGAGGCTCTTGTCACCTTGTTTGTTTAGTTGTTAATAAGTTATATTTTTTGCTAATTTTGCTTGAGTATAACTACATCATGTGTATAGCCAATGAATATAAAGATGTTATAATTATGAAATAAACAAGAGAGTTTGGCAAAGCAGATTATAGTAACAAAAAAAGAATAGATAGAAAGCTTACCTGCATCCTGGACTCGCTGCAAAACTCCAGAGGAGGGATCTCTAGAAGAGATCCTTCCCCACTGGCAGTCAGCTCTTAAATGGATCTAAGAGAGGTGCAGCCAGACTCCACCCCTTCTGGCAGCACAGGTGAATTGCCTTCACCTGTGCTCCCCTGGCTGACTCATGGCTCGCCTCAATCAGAGGTTCAGGCTGTGATTCAGCAGTTCCCATACAGTCATGTAACAGCAACAACTCACCTGCCGGTATTCTAACATAAGCTTAGGCAGAGGATGAAGATCTTGTAACTTACTGAGCTGTAAGATAAAGAATCTGTACTACTGTTATGTTTTTCTGTTAAGTGGTGTTGTTTAACTATCTTAACTTCCTCATTTGAACAACGATTAGTATTTGATATTTAACTGTTAAGTAAAACATAGCAGAAGTTCTGCTGGATGAAATACACTTGTCAAGATGAAAGAGGATGAAATATATGCTAAGCTATCATGTCCTTCAAACAATCTCATCACAGGCCCATAAGGAGCCTTCATTCATCCCTGCCTTCAGGAGGGCTGGAGATTATCCCCTTGCATTTTGTTTCCCTTCCCATTTCAGAGAGACAACAAGTAGACGTGAAACTTTTCCTCAAGAACATAGGAAACAATAAGGCACATAGAGTGAGGGGATTGTTTATGGTCCTTTGTTTCATTTTTGTGCAAGACAGCATCTAAGCAAGAGAGAACATGGAAAAGTACGCAATACATATTTATACATGCATACATGAATGGGTAATAAACATATATTTAAGTGTGTATTCATACAATCAAAATCTAACAGCAGAGCTCCCATTTGTCCCATCGTACAAGGTCCAGGAGATTTCAAGATTTCTTAGATCATAAATTTACATAAAAATTTGTAAATAAAAAGAATCAAATGAGATTATATATGTAGAAGTACAACAAAAATTTCTGGAACTACACATTCAGGCTAAAAAAAATTATGCAATTCTATCAGAATAAAGATTTTCTACCGTAATTCTTTTCTTACTATCATGCATAGATGATTTATTAACCTGCCTATATTATGTAGATTGACATGTAGAGTCAATATGAAGTTCTACAAGGTACTGTGAATTTCAGATCAGGAAACTACAAAGTGCTTCCCTTGTTTCTGACAAATGTGTATTCAATACAAAGTTGCTTTTTCTATCTTAAGCAGCAGAATTCTCCTTCCATTCTTGGTTGCTCTCTGTCATTCCTAGCATAAGTAAATCAAGTGTGAGTAACATAACATAAAAATAAATGAAGACTGGAAAGGAAACTAGACAAATTACAGCTTCACTGACATAGAACTTAGAAGTTTTTTTAAATAATGCAGATTGTTGAATAATCTCATCTCACCACAACTTCTGAGGTGGATGCAACTTGCTGTCTTTCAGTTCTGGGAATTTTTTCACACAGCGTATGCAGTTTTAACTTCTCAAACAGTACCTACATTAAGAAAAAGACTTCAGTGCTTCAAGTGATGAAAAAGAAAAGAAAACGATTAGATTCCTGGACTCCAGTCTACAAAAGAGATTCCAAGTAAAATAGAGTTATGCTGCAGAAAAGAGAAAAATAACACAGGAGTAAAAAGATCAGATCTTTACTTTTAACATCTTATTTCTAAAAATAGCGCACTCGCTAAAATAAAGTGCATTATTTAACTTCATTCAAATGCAGATTAGCCAAATGGTCAGATTTATGAGTTAACTGAGATGTCTTCCATTATAATCAGAAAATATAATTAGAACATAGAAGAAAAAGAATCAGAAGTTGTATGAACAAACTTATATGCTTTATAATTCTCCTGCATCATTAACAGTTTACAGAATAGATAGCTTAAGTAATGACAGTAATACGAATATACTTCTCTAAGTTGACTACTGCTGGTCAAAAGGAATCGTTCTCCAGCAATTTGATGGGCTTCCTCTTCGAGTTCTTTGAGTCTCAACTGTAAATTACAGAACATCAGAACTATTCCTTTTACACTATTTTCTTCAATATTCTGTTACTTCCTACATTATTAGGTATATTGGACTACTACTTATAAACGAGATACCCCACTACTGGCTATCAGCTGGTTTAATGGATTGCTCGTATACCTTCAATCTACATTTCTTTATGAACTAGAGAGGGGATTTACTATAGAAAAAAGCACTAATATTTGTGGAAAAAAATAAAGATAAAATTTACCCCTAGAATCTCTGATGTTTTTTTCAGTTCTTGTTTGTCCACATGTATTTTGTGAGTTTCCATCACTGCAAATAAAATTAAATACTGAGAACATTTACAATTGACAAGTGTAATCTTGCACGCTACAAAATTGAAATTCTAACTCACGTAGGTATTCATGGGCATTACAAGGATAACATAATATTTAGTTATTGTAACCTTTATTTCAGTACAATAAACAGCTGCATAAAAATGGTAAAAAGTCATATTTGGAGCTGAACTTTTGTACCTGCCAGAACTTTGATCAGTGGAAGCTCTAATGTGCAAAATAATTTCCACAAACCTTGAACCTGTAAAGTAAGATACAAATCAGCACCAGTATTAGCAAACCTTATTCTAAAAACCATACGATAGTATCATTATGTAGATCAGTTTTTCAGCGAGCAGTATTTCACTTTATGTATCATTTATTTTTATAAAGACAAGGCTGGGTAAAGCATGAAATACTAGTTAGTGTAAATTATAGCATCCAAACACTATATTCAATTATCAAATTGTTTTATAAGGAAAGGTACAGTAATGGAAACTAAGAAATTTGCACACCATTTGTCTACAATATTTTTAGAATAAAGTCCACTGTAATAGAACATTTCTTCATTCTTTTTTCTTATTCACTTGAGCAACTAAGCAACCACTCAAAATTCAATATTTTATTTTCATTAGGAAGATGTAGAAAGGTGGGACTATGTACCCAATTTAGTTGCAAAGAACAGGATGGTTTTTTTCCTCTCACCACTGCAGCAGTCAGACAACAATAGTTCTCTCAGAATTTCTGTAGGCTTGTGGTTGGTGTTGCTGTACCTTAGGTGTTTCTGTTGCCTTCATTCACAGATAGAACAATTGCTGGGCCACTTAAAAAAATCCAGTCTAACAAGGCTCCATCAGCTACTTTTCTCAACCCTTACACTATATTTTAAATCAGTTTCAAGGAAAGCCTCTAGTGTCTCATTATACAGGACAAGTTTAGATGAGAAGTTAGGAAGAAATTCTCTACCATGAGAGTGGTAGGGGTCTGGAAGAGGTTGGTCAGAGAAGCTGCAGATGCCCTATGTCTGGAAACATTCAAGGCCAGGATGCATGGGGCTTTGGGCAGCTTCATCTAGTGGGAGGTGTCCCTGTCATGTCAGGGAGGTTGAAACTAAGTGATCTTTAAGGTCTCTTCCCAACTAAACCATTCTATGAAGCTATGCAACTTTCTCCAGAACCTGAGCATATCCCTAAATTTTGAAACCTTTTCAAATATATAATAACAAGAAAACAAAACAGAACATTAAAAACTCCTAAAAACTCTTGAAATGTATTCTGAACTTCACCAAGGATTAATACAACATACAGTAGCAGACATGCTAAGTTTTTGTGCTCAACAAAGACAATCTCTAAACATGTCTACCGAGATAAATAACGACACTGCTTCAACTCTTAAACAGTTTTTGGATTGTTCATATAGCTTTAAAATATAGAATGAAGCAGCACAACTTTTTGATTTTTTCCTGTTCTTAGGATCTTCACCTAAATATTTAACTCTTGTAGAGGAAACTTCTTCAACATTTGCTTTGAGTAAACATTCCATTCTTCTGAAAACAATGGTAAATTTGATGGACCACTTCATCTTACATGTTATCTAGTACTATAAATCCATGAAGTTTGAAACCTTTTATTTTATTTCCATAAGAGATTCTGATTTGAGTGAGAAGCACACCACTTTGTGATAACACCTCAGAAATTATTGCTGAGTAACTACTTATCAACTCTTACCTGTAAGTCATGAGCGAGGCCCATCATTATAGTATAAAGTTTTTGCAAATTCATAACCAAGTTTTGATGCTGATAAAAAATAAGACTTTTAATATTAGTATTAAAATATTCAGAGCAATATTTTTAAAGTGATTAAGCTATTAAAGTACATTTCCTGCATTTCCCTTTAGTAATGCTAAATACAATAGGAACATTTTAAGACCTCCAACTGTTGCGAACTGACTCTGAGCTACCAAAAACAAAAATTACAAGCACAGGAGTAAAGACAATATGCATTCAAGATCTTACTTGTTCCTTTACTTACATTTTGTACAGACTGTGTGATGTTAATTCAGAATTCTATTTTTAACTTCCAAAACTCCAAAAAATTTAACTGTTATCAGTACTGCCTTTCTTCCGTGCCAAATTATTCACCTCCTTCTTCTGCAGGGGTGTTTCACAGTGAAACTAAGATGACTAAAAGATTGTTTTGATATGCACACAGACAATCAAAAGCCACATGCTGAACCAACAGAAAACTTCATAATTATTTTAAGATGTCTTTCTAAGCTGAAACTTGTCTAGATACTTTGCATTCAATTTAACTACATAGAAGTTCACCTGCTCAGGGCAACAAAGATGGTGAAGAATCTAGAGGGGAAGACTCATACAGAGTGTCCGAGATCTCTTGGTTTGTTCAGCCCATAGAAGACGGGGTTGTGGTGGTCTGCAGCCTCCTTACAAGGAGAGCACAGGGACAATTCCTGACTGTCTCTTCCCTCTGTAGACCAGCTATCCAGAAAGATCCAGAAAGGTAGATGTGAGAATTACTTGGCACGAGGTGTTAATAACCCAGGAAGGAAAAAACAGCCTGAGAAAAGTCAGAAGGGAGTATATACATTATATCCCACGAGACTATGGAATTTTGGGCAAGTGTAGAAATCCAAAATGCAAGATAATTATGCTAGACAGTGTAGTACTGACTGCAGATTCTTGTCAGTGCTAGTCTGGGAAAAAAATCTGTAGTATATAGAACTGCAGAATGCTCAAGCTTAGTAATTCTTGTTCAACAACATCAATAAAATGCGTATCAGATGGAAGACTTAGAGAAGAAAGGAATTTGGGGAACATTAGAACCCTATCTTCTTTAGAAGATAATCAGATCACATTCAGTGCGTCCTCCTCTATATCTACAGAGTTGGAGACTGACTTAGATGTGGCTAGTTTTTTGCGAGCAGGGTATTCCAAGGTCATTTCTACTAAATTAATATACATAGCGTTCCAAATAAATTTAAAATCCATCTCCAAAGTGAGAGAAAGGCATCTTTCTGTCAGGAACAGTAGGCAGACTGATTGACAGTGGCTATGAAATCATCTGAAGGCTTCACACTTAAAAAAGCACTGACAGGGCTCCTTGGGTATTTTGGAAGTAATATATCTTCAGATACACCATTCATCCTATGTGTATATTAGAAGACTCCAAATTATTCTGTGCTCACTCTATTTTTTGTATCCCTAGAGGAACACTAAGAGTGGCTCTTTCACTACAAGATGCAGAAATTTCTCTACAGACCTGCAGATGGTCTGTGATCTTGTTACATTACTGCTGTTGTAAAATAACTAGAGTTGGAAAAAGATCTGGAAACAAATCTTCTGCTTTTTCCACTCAAACTGAGTAGGAAAATGCTTTTATTACCAGACTAAGTTCTCAGAAATCATTGTACCTAATCTGACTGTGCTACTCATTCCAGTTCCATGGTTTACACTTGATGTATTCAGAAGATTTCCTTCGGTCCCTCTGGGATGAGAATACAAAAGCATTTTACTTGCTATCAGATTTACATTATGCTCTAAGATTGCACAGAAAAATGAAATTAATGTTTCAGTTTGAATGAAATATTTCAAGTAAGTAATAAAAACAAGAGTATGTGTAATGTAACCAGATAAAATATCACTGGACATGGTACTCAACTGGACGTAATTGAGCCACAAATTATGATGTAAAACAGAAAGATTATCACTGATTGTTGCCAAGAATATTTTCTTACAGGTCTGATGTCAGAATACTGTGTTTCTGTAGGGCTTTTCATCTGCCCTGCCAGAAATGTAATTCTATTCTTGCCTGCTTTGCTTAAAACATCAAAGTGGTTGAGCAAACTTCAGAATCTTCCTGAAGAAGAATCTGTACAGACTAAATAGATCTTCAAAGAAGCAGGGGAAGGACCACTCTCTTCCGCTCTCTCTAAGAGGCTAAGGGCCTTCCTGACATTGAGAAAACGTAGCCCTGGATAGCTTTTTCTTTTTGAGCAGTCCTTAGCAGGAATTGCTCCATGAGCTGTACATATTACTACTTTGCTGTGTTCAGGTGGACTCTCAGAAACTCCTGGTTATGTTTCTACACAGACTCAGATATCAGTATATTTAAACACATTCCCACGTCTTTGCAGTGGAAGAGTCAGCTGTCAACCAAAAGGTAAACAATCTATTTCCCATACAGTGTATAAAAACCTGCCTCATTTACACAACTCCCTTTTTGGCCTCTTGTCTGCAAAAGAGCCCTATCTTTATGTGAAGAAAAAGAGAAGTCCGGAATTGAGGCATTACTCCAGACACAGTCTATCAGCAATGCTTCATCCATTATTTGATCCAAAGAGAAAGAAGAAGGAATCCAAATTACTTGTAGGTGCACAAATACGAAGTCAGAATTGATCAAAAATAGTTTATATTACAATAAACTGTAACAAATTGCAGAGGAAAGCATTATGGCACAGACAAAAAAGAACCATCACAAGGACTTTATTACACCAATCTAACTCTTATTTTTAAGAAAAGTGTTGTGCCAAGAGTAACAGAAGTGTGGAAGACACTTAGATGCAGGAAGTTTTAGTTCATTCTAAAAACAGAAAAAACAATTGAGTCTGGCGAGACAATTAGCAGAAAGATGGCAAAACAGAAAACAGAAACTGTAAAGAGAAAAACCACACATATAGAATTGCCATAACATACTTGTGAATATGTACATCCCTCTACTACAGAGCTTGAGATATTTTTTGTTCACCCTACTTCATTCTTCTTGATGTCAGCTACACAGGAATCCCATTACTTATTCAAACCTTACTGCCACTTTTACTTTTCCTAGACCAAGGCTGTGGCAAGAGACTATTGCTTCTTTTAGAATTCATATCCAACTGCATATTTGTCTATATGTTCTTCTTCATGAATATTCTGGATACTAACTTCAAATGGTTTGACTTAACTATTTGCTAAGATATCAGCAATCAGGATTATAAAGCTGAGAAACAAGAAGTCAGAATAGATGCGATTCCCAAAATGGAAACACATCCTTAACACTCCGTAAATAAACCTCAGTAGACAGTAAAACATTTCCATAGTACTGGGAATAACTTCATGAAATTCATTAAGCATTCACTCTCGTTGAGAATATAAACTCACATACATCATACTTGCAATTTGAAGGTTCATATTTTACTCCCTACTATTCCTCAGTATCACTATTAACAAATGATGCCTTCACCAGAAAGTTGTAAGATTCAGCAACAATATTAATAACAGTTAGCTAAAACAGGCTAAAAGTTCTCAGGAATTAGGGAGCAAGACTTCAGACATTCTGGAAATAAAAGCTGGAAATTAGTTTGCAGACAGCTGAAAGAAAAGACCAGCTTTTCTACTAATTAACATTGCTACTGAACTTCAGGATTTGGATATAGAATTCTGCAATTGTTCCTGGCAAATTAGGTGCAATATTAGTAGAATTCAGTTAACCCTTCCCTTTCATCCCCCTTTTTAAAACTAGATTTCTGACAAGCAGCGTTAACACAATCATTTTCTATTCAAAAGGCATAATCTGTAATTTTTCAATATTCTTACAAGCATCATTTTCAATATCTCCTTCCTCTTTTAAGTCAACCATTAAAAAAACTAAAACAAACTACTTACCAAAGAATTTCTCAAAGCACCTGTATCTGTATTTACTGTTTCCACTGAATTAGATTTTTCAAAATACTGCATTAGGCATTCAAAAGAGGGAACTGTGTCACTGGAGTTTATCAGCCACGCTGCAATCCTTGGATCCAACACGACGCTCTCTGCAACTACAAAAATCAGTTATTTCTGACAGTTAAAATATTTAAGTCACTTCTTGGGTAGATAAATACTTCTAAAATTTTGTCCATCTGTCCTGTAGACACACATTATGAATAGACCTAAAATGATAAATACCTTGTAGCAATCACTTTTAAAATCTGCAACGTATGAATATATGAATTCACATGAGTACATAAAGCTTTGATCTCAAAAGTCACTTCTGTCCTGCAGAACCTTATGTGTTTATGCTGCACTTTCTCTTAGATCCACATAAATACATAGGATTGAACAAACCTAGTGCTGTTTAATGTCATATGCACTGTAGTACCACAAAGAAGAGGGGGGAGAAGCTAATAACTAGAATTCTGAGATATAGCCAAAGATAGATGTAAGCACCCTCTTAAGGAATCTTTAAGTAATTAAGTTCCGACAACAGCCCACAGGTACATGCTTATATAAATTAAACAATTCCCAGCTATACAACCTTCAGACTTGATTAGCTGGAAGACAGTTTAACGTCCATTACATATGTGACAGCTACAAGACCAATCTGATGAGAACCAGGCTTGTTCATCTCCGCTGATTTAACTGCTGCTGAAAAGCACTTTATGTTGCTGCTTACCAGATGACAGGGAACAAGACCTTTTTTCCCCTGAAACAGCTTGGCCTGTGCTGGAGCAGCTAGATAAATGAAAGATACTTCAGCTGCATGGTTTCATGCGAAGGTTTTACGTAGCTCACCACCCCTTTCTTCAAATACAAAGAAGTTCTTCACCTTGGAAGCTAACAGATGCCAAGGAGCAGCCACAGAAATTGTCTCGAGGACATCCTGCTGAGTGCACTACTAAGAGATTCCTTCTCTTTTTTTAGAGACTAGCTTGATTTGCAATGATGCAGCTTAAAGAAGTAGACGAAGGCCTGAATTCATTTGGAAAATAAAATTTAGGTATGCCCATAGGACTTTTACTGTTCTTTCAGCAGGAAATATTCTCTACAGTGATTAAATGAAACGTACACAACTGTGCTGAACAGGATTGCCATCAACTTAGATGATGCACTGTGAAGAGGCAGATTAAGCAACACAGCCTCACTGAGGGGCAGTAACACTGCAGGCAGCTGATGGTTGTTGGAAAGGCGTCCAGAGGTTGCAGGAAGGCACTGTCCAATGAGATGCTGGACATCCACAAGTCCGTGTGACAACTGCTTGAAATGTGCACTGATTTTTTTTTTTAAATAAAATCTGAATTCTACTCAGAACATGTGGAAAAGAGAATCCTGCTACCAAACAGTGTTTGTGAGCTATTAGAGATCCTCCAATATCTCTATTTACAATGTGCACGAGAGTCTCCACTTTTATAGTGATGAAGAATCAAATATCCCAACCATTTGCTCTTTCTTTCTCAAGTAAGATTTTCAGTAAGTCAGCTCAATTGTAAAGAGTTGTAACCAACAACTCAGTCCTTGAAAGGGTACGACATCTGCAGCGTTAGGAGTAAGATATGTAACTAGGACAGAAGCAACCTGAAAGGACTGCAGCAAAACCAGAGTCAGGCTGAGATAAAAACAACCAGCAGAGATGGTGCAGATTAAAGCACAATTATGTGCAGATTGTGAAATGGTAGTCAAGACTCAAGTGCTGTATACCTCCTCCAGAAACCTTAGTGAATCACAGTGGCAAAGCACGCTACACTTCACCAGTGTGAATTAACGTAACCATGTATTCCACTGGTTGGCACATGGCAGTTTAAGGAAGTTTCTATGGGGAACATGAAACTCAAGGCAATTTAACCTGCTCAGCTACACACAGGATTGTTTTGAACGCTTTTTTTTTTTCCACTGGAAATCATCCTTAAACTTCTCAATGTTTCAGCAATTCCTACTCTAAGAAGAAATACATCACCTCAGTGTACCAACTCTCTCTTCAGAAACTCCCCAAGAAGGATATTCTTTTCCATTGTACTAGAACTGTTTTCCAGTATTTAACTAACCACTAACCTAATTGCTTCTGCACCTCGCAATTTTAACGCCACAGGCACAGCTCACAGGATTAAGCCATAGATTAGACAGTTACCTTGTTTCCAGCTAATTCCATTACCATAAATTTGAAGTACTGTCTTCAGGAAATCTTTCGCATTGAAGCAGATAACTGGAACTTTGCAACGTAGTATTTGAAACAACACTTGCCTGCACAGAGAAAGTTTCTGAATATGCACTATACTGCTATTAGATTTAGTTAAGCCATTCAATTTAAATTTTTAATTAGCAAGTTGTACTAAACTGAACAGCTAATAAAAGGCATTTATTTTAATAAGAATATAGTATTGTATTTGAATATTGATTTTTCAATTCAATACCTGAATCTTCATTCTATACTTAAACACACTAACAGATGGCTTACCTGCATGCATAAAGAAATCTCGACACTTAGAATTAAACACAATCCAAAAGAGCAACTTGCATGCCTATAATACTTTACTGTGCCTAAATGAGATCACAGACTCTTCTAAAGTTACTAGACAATCTAAATTGCTCTAATTGCCTACTGTTCAAAGGCTGTTTAAAACTACTATACTCTATCTCATTTTTCCATTTCTTCCCATTCTTTTTTGAAAGCATCTATAGTTTCTGTATCCACGACATTTGAAATAGAACTGAATACATTTCATTAATCATGTGTATCATTTTTATTTTATACAGCATAAAAAGGATAATTCCGTATAGGGCTTTCATGTTGATTTATTGTTAACAAAATGAAACCACAGTCCTTGGACAGGTTTAAAATATTTTATTTGAAATTTTCTAGGTCATAAGGTATTTCTGAGTATATTGTAGAATCACTATTAAACAACCTCACCATTCTTGGAAGATATAAGCATTTAGAAAAAGTCTATAGTTAGAACGCGTAACTTGTTTATTCTTGAGTTTTTGTTGTTTTGAAGTACTTTAAATCCTAACACTGAGTTGTTTACAATAAATCAGTTATTACTGAAATTCATAAAGCATCATGAAGAAGTTTTATCATGTGACTATTATAGTGAAAAATTAATCTACTTCCTCCCATAATGGGATACTACTTCAAAGTCAATAAGGAATAAAAATGGATTTTGTTATGCTAAGTGGAAGTTCAAACTAAAACCCAACTTGAAAAATTTAGCCCAACCATTAAACAGATGCAAAAAATGCTTTTGTAATTTGTATGCTCCACTGTTACTGGATCACAAGAAAATCTCATTCAACATCTCAAAGTCATCTTAAAAGCCTACTGCTTTCTGTGCTCTGAAATTAAAAATATTACCAGAGGTCAAAAAGGCTATTTATAATAATCATGTTCTAGGATTACTATGTAAGAAATACAGGGAGGAAATGAAGATTAAATACAAAAAGAAAAATCTTGTGAGATTTGAGATTTATGTTTTTTGAGCCATAGCTTTGTAGGGCATTCCTACAGCATTTCTAGGTGAATATATTAATACTATAAATTCATATAATACTTAAAGACTGTGTATTAGTATATTAAATATTATCATAATCCCAGCCTCCTCCTGCAAAGAAATCAAGTGATCAATATCACTGCTGCCAAAAAGCAGAATGTTGCTTTATTCTTACATGCTCTTACCGGGCAAATTTGTTGTGAGCCTGTTCTTCTTGCTCCCAAAGGGAAGAGCATTCAGTTTCCAAATAAATGAATTTATCACTCGGACTAGCAGTGCTCCAAGTACTGGCAGTTGAAGAGAAACTGAGAGAGCAAAGGCGATCTGTTCGACTCTTCACTAATACAACAATTCCCTTCACTGACGAGGCTAAGGTGTTCTGTTAAGCATAATTACAACAGTGTTTCCTCTGAGATCTCTTATGCAATGCCAAAAAAATTTCCCAAGTATTTTACAATATGCAAACTACAAGGTAGAATAGTTACTGTGTACACCATCGACATAATAAAGAAGGTTGCAAATGCTTCATCCTTAAAAAAAAAAAAAAAAAATAATAATAATAAAAAAAACCCAACAAACTACTGTGACAGTCAAGGTAGGAAGAAGAAAAAAATATTTAAAGTCTTGCTTGATGTATGCTAATGAGTGCTTAGCCCAAGAGGTTCCAGTTTCTTTAGATTTTATTTGGTAACTAAGAATAAAAGGCAGCCAGAAGTATGAAGATTTATCTCATCATAAATTAGTATTTTGGTAAGCAAGAATATTTTAAACTGCTCCAGATTCCACCCTCCCAATGAACATGGCTTTATATTAACCAGCCACATGCACAGTTCAAATAATTCAGCAAAACAGTCACCAAAAACCCACAGTTCACTAACCTGCTCTGAGTTGAGCTGTGAAGAACCATCTAGAAATATCATGGTAGTTACAAAAGCCACTGCTTCTTTTATATTTGCAATCAATTCTCTTTTTTCTTCATATCCTAAACTCCTGATATCACAAAAATCATTCTCAGAATGCTCTGCTTGTCTGGAAGTCCAGTTATACCTCCTCTCATGTGAAATGTGTTTCTTAACAAGTAATCTTTTTTTTCCCAAACAATACGTAGGTACCTCTTGCTTTCTTTTAAGGGGGGTAACTAAACTCTTTTCACCATCTGCCATGTTTCTTTCTTCTACTGTAAGGTTTCTTTCTCTATATCCCCATTCAGTAGAGCCTAATTCCCAGTAGAAGCTCAGGATTTCTTTGGTATGTGCCATCCTGACTGCATCACCAGCAGTACTTTTTTCAGAGCTGGCAGATGATTTTAATAAGGCAACTGTGGAATCACTGATCTCCTGGAAAAATCAGAAAATATTCAGTGAACCAATTGTTCAACTTATTAGGAGACACAAAAATAAACACACATGAGTTCATTTAGCTTAGCTTTTCAGGATGTGATGCTCTACAGAAAAAAAACGTTAGTGATAACATCAAAGAAGAGCCGATTTAAGGAAACTATAGGCCCAAAGAGCATATATATATATATATATATATATATATATAAATAAATATATATAAATATGAATATATAAGAACTGTAGACAGACAGCTAACACACTAAAAGTGTATTCTCCAGTCAAACTGCAACAAGTTTTTACTGTTTAACACACAGCAGAATTTGAATTAGGACACTGAAGTAATTATAGAATCAGCAGTAAGTAATTATCTTTTAAAACTTCAAAAATAGGAACAAAACAAATTTAATTATCAAGTCAGAATAATAGAGGTGAACAATGATTAACCACAAAGCAGCAGCAGCAGCTTCTGGGAAGAACCAATCATCTACTAGAAATAATGACATAGCTGGAAGTAAATAACAGGCTTTCAAAGTCAGAAGATGTAGTTCCATAATTTATGTAGAATAATCTTGCTAAATGTGGTGAGTCAAAATTTATCTCCTCAACATTACAGGATGGGTTTTCACTACTATTTACATTCATCTATGGCTTAAATCATTCTCATCAAGCCCATCTAAGAGCCAATTAAATTTGCAGTAAGCTACCCCATGCCAAAACTCCTAGATGGACTTGCAGTAAGTGCAATAGTCACCAGAGTTGGAGTAAGGAAGGCTGTAGGATTTGCAGCTGGGATAGGGCTTCAGTTTTAATACCTGCAAATCATTTGACTAACTCAATAGACCTCAACCTCAGCCCAAGTTGCGACTGTTCCAGTTAGCCATTTCCATTCTTGGATTAGCACCTAGAATCAGAGTTGGAAGGGACTTCTAAAGGCCATCTAGTCCCACTCCCCTGCAATGAACAGGGACATCCACAGCTACATCAGGTTGCTCAGAGCCTGGTGCAGCCTGGCCCTGAAAGTCTCCAGGGATCGGGCATCTCTGGGCTACCTGTGTGAGGGTCTCACCACCCTCACTGTAAAAGATGTCTTCCTTATGCGTACCTGCACACACATTAAATAAATTCAGAGAGATGATTCAACAGAAAAATTAAGCTTCCCAATTTGCAGACGTTTTTCTTGTGAACCAGCTCACTTTGATTGTGAAACACCTAGTAGCAGCCTATGGGAGCACCAGAGATGGATACTAAAATAATATTTTAATTTTCACCCACACAGCTGCTCTAAGGACATTCAGTAGACAGAATGATGCATTAATTTAGAACAGCTTATGGAGAGGATATAATATTTAATGGTTCTGTTCTAGACCACGTGGGAATTATATGAGCTAGTTATGGATGAGAGGGTAATTTACAAAACATAAGCCACTTCACTACTGCTACAAAAAGCTTTTTCCAGTATTTTGCAAGGTATTCTCACATGCTAGCGATTATTCAGTCATAGAGGTTTGAGAACATTTTAAAATTACATTAGCTACCCAAAATTGGCAACATTCCACATTTATTTCTGGTCAATCTGTCAGAGAAGACTTTATAACCAGAGCAAGAGGGGGCCAAGACTCTCTAAGGCAAATAGATAGCAAGTGCAAAATAAGATTAAGGTTATCTAAACCACAAATGTATGCAATGTACTGCAACACAGTTTGTTATGGAAGATCTAGTCAATAACAACTTCAAGTCTTCTATAAAACAGTCACTTTTTTTAGTGGTATTTTACAACGTGCTTGCCTTTTCATTTTTCAGACCTGCATCCTTATCACCTAGTTTATCTTCCTTTGTCTTCTCTTTACCTTTAAAAAAAAAAAAAAATATTTTATAGCACAAATGAATCTGACCAGAGCATATAATTTGGTTTATAGAGTGCTAGATTACCAACCCTGTTACTAAAGTTAAAACAACTGCTATTAAGTTTTCTGTGGCAGATGTTTTCCTCAGACCGACACAATTCATGTTTAAAATGGCCCTGCAGGTTCTGAAACATGCATACACAAAAGTATGCTCCATCTCCCTTAAAAAAAAAAATAGTTCGACTTCACTACAAAGAAGAAAACATTTTCTAGGGAACTCAGAAGGCACTTTACTGTAATATTGTAAGCATACATACTGCCATCCTTCAAAACACATTCAATTTTTGTCAAAGCAAAGCTAGGGGCACATACAATAAAAACAACAAAAAAAGACACTATATACCACAGTTTACACAAAATCACAGGAGCTGAAAGGGACCTCCAAGAAATCATCAAGTCCAAAACCCTGCTAAAGCATGTTGCAGAGGTAGACATCCAGATCTTGAATATCTCCAGAGAAGGAGACTCCACAGCCTCTCTGGACAGCATGTTCAAATGCTCTGTCACTCACAGTGAAGAAGTTTCTTCCTCGTATCTGTATGGAACTTCCTGTGTTACAGCGTTTGCCTGTTGCCCCTTATCCTGACACTGAACACCTGTGAAGAGCCCAGCCCCATCCATTCAACTTCCACACTCCAGATACTCACAAACAACGATATTTATAAATAGTTTAACATGTTGTTAGGTAGTACTATTCTCAGAAATACTCTTCAATAAAATATTTTCTTTGCATATGGCCTAGAAAAAAAATAAATTGACCACACTCCATTGAGAAGTTACTTCTTACCACATTGCTCACCCTTGCAAGAGAATGGGTATTTTAAGACCAGACAAGAAGAGAGAGCATGGAAAACTCAGACTGATCAAACTGACAGAAAGGTGAGTCATGACCAGCATAAGTCATGACCAGCACAGAGTAGGATGGCTCTCAGTGCTGGGTTTAAGACAGAACCCCAGCCCATAGCATAGTTGCTAACCTGAGCACCTCTGAATTACCAGTGATATTTTAGCCTAGAGTTCTTCTGAAAGTTTAAGGAAGGCTTTGTAACATCAGGACTTTGCACAGCATGAATGAAAAAGTTAAGATGTGCCTTCTCCTTTCCTTCCCTCAACACCACCCAGGAGCCCAACAAGAGAAGTAAAAGAAGGCTGGAATAAAAGAACGAAGGGCAATAGGCAAGCAGCTCTTAAAATTCCAGTGAGCACAGTAAAAGAACTTCTGTGAAATATGCGCTTCTGCAGTCTGTAATTAGAACTCTTACCTCTAGATCCTTCTACTGCCTAGCAATTCAAAAAGAAACCAAAAAACACTCATGAGCAAAACACATATTCCTTTCTAACTGCTGGTCCAGAAATCCTGCTGACTTCTGCTACAAAACTTGCATTACCAGCAGCAAGAAATTCTGAACCTAACATACTGCTTTCACTGAAACTGTTTGATTATAATAACGTTTTGACTAGGTAAACCAGGATCCTGTATTTAAAAGACTAAAAAAGCATTTTAAAAGACAACTACTTTCCCCAGAAGAAACTAAGCACATTACTTTATAATATTATAGGCATCTCACACCGTATAATTTGTTATTTATCTCCAGTTAAGATACCTAACTGGTGGGATGCATCAAGAAAACCGAACCTAAAATTCACTCTTCCACAATAGTAAGATTATAATTTACAATGATAGTAACATGATTTTGCATTCAGTACTCTTAACTGCTTAAAATATCTAGATATTTTTTCTTAACAAGTTCATCCTCCTGAGAAAATAAGGTTTATTTTCTCTCCTTCAGCACACAGTATTCAGTAAGACATACACAAGTGGCTATACAACTTTTCAGTTCCTGCCTTGTTAGGAAGTATCACCAGATGGCAGTAGAAAGCCATCCTAGCCTTCAAACTTGGCAAAAGCTGGAGTCTAAAAGTGCTGACACACCATTAACATTATCTACCTCGCTCTACCTCTGGAATTTACATTCACTTTTTCCCCTAGAATTGCACAGAGTGAGCTGGTAATGAGCATGTTTGGGAAGAGCCTGGAGAGTTCACAGGGCTTCTCCTAATTTTTCAGCACCTGTACTGCAAGTATCTAGTAGAGTTTCAAGCTGATGCACATTTACAGTGTTAATTAACGCTAAGAAATTCTCATCTATATTACTACAGGTTAGGAAGGAAAAAAACACAGTAAAATTCAGGCTAACAGCAACCTCCCAGTTTCCTGCACTCACACAGTGATATTTAACCAGGAAAGACACATCAAATACTACAGTTATTTCTTAATTCCTGAGGTTCAGTGTTGTGTGCTTGCATTTCAGATTTTCAGCTGAAAAGAGAGACGGTTAAGAAGGCCAATACTCACTCTGATTATTTTTTCTGCTAGTCTGAACTCCTGTAGGAATAGACTGCAAAGCTGACATAATCCTCTGAGCAGTATCAGATAAAGGCACCTCAGAAATCCCACATCCTATGTATGATGTGTAATGCTCCATTTTTATGATTAAGCCTAAACACAGAATACACATACGAATTATGCATTGTATCAGTCAGAAACCAGTCTGCACTTTAATTCTGTTTAAGTTAAAGACAAAATACAATGACTGTGTTCAGCCATCCATTTGCCTTAATAGATTTTCTCCCTGACATGCCTAAAGTATTCTCAAGTATTGCAAATAAAAATTAGCAATTACAAAACCTACAAAGTGAAACATCTTGAAATACAGTGTTTTAGTACACTGATAAAAATTATCACAGAATGGCCAGGGTTGGAATGGGCCTCAAGGATCATGAATCTCCAACCCCCCTGCCACATGCAGGGCCACCAGCCTCCACATTTGATACTAGACGAGGCTGCCCAGGGCCCCATCCAACCTGGCCTTGAACACCTCCAGGGATGGGGCATCCACAGCCTCTCTGGGCAGCCTCATCAGGTTCCAGAGGTTCCAGTATCTCACCATTCTTCTCTGTAAAGAATTCCCTCTGACATCCAACCTATATCTTCCTTCCCTCAACTTAAAACCATTTCCCCTTGTCCTTCTAAAAATTATGCAGTCTTAAGTACAGCTAACTTCTAATAAGAGACTGACAAACAAGGATTACTCTGTTATTACTGTTGAAAATACTCCCCCCAGTACGTTCAATCTAGCCTATATCTAACATATGCACAACTTTACCTATATCTATCATATGTACAACTTTACTGTTGTTAGTCCTCAAGTTTTAATTCATGGATGTTCTTCTTGATCTAACTGTCAGAACAGCACCAACTTGTGATGAAAGAAGAGTTACTATCATCATGCATAAAGATCAGTGATACAGTTTTAGAAAACATGCATACAAAAAACCTTCTATTTCATAAGTTCTGTATAATTTACATAGTCAAGTATTAACATGACTACATTGGTCAGTGTAAAGTCAGTCATGTCTAAAGCCTCTACAAGTTTTAAGCACAGCTACTGATGTTCTCAATTTTACCCTTTCTTTCCTCCCCTCTCCAAAAGCAGCTGCTTTTCCACTTGTAGAGTATGGCTACAAGACAATACATACAAAATACTTGGAGCCACTAGATAAAAAAGCATTTGGGAGAACTAGAGACAAGGCACCCATACTGACAGACGGCTTGACTTCACATAGCTAGATCAGTACAAAGCACAGAACTTACCACAAACACTAGGTATGCACGCAACATTTCCAAAGGACTCAAGATAGTACATTCTCCACCAAGAACTGCTGTTAAGTAATTTAATTCCTATACAAATACGTTATTCTGATCTTCTTTTACTAAGTTCTGTGTATAAATAGCCTTTCAGGTCAAGTCTGACTATCAACAATACACCCTTTTCTTTACACAGAAATATTTTTCTTAGTTCAAGATCACACGCAGATTGCTTACAGTCTAACTTGTACAAGAAATTACTTACAAACACAAAAAACTATCAAAGAGGAATAGCCATCAAGCCACATTAAGTTTTGTCCAGTAGCTATCTAGCTCCAAAGAGGTAATCCTGTCTCAGTTTGTGTATGCAATAATCTAAAGCTTTCATAATAGCTTGAATTGTAGATGTAGAAGACAAAGAGCATCTCTAAACTCGCTTGTGAGAAAGAAAAATGAAAACACCACATGACCAACCTCCAGCACAGCGCTCAAGAACCTTAAGCAGAGTAAAACAGTGAGGGATTTTTGAAGTCACAGGATACTTCTGGTCATAACCCCTGCAAATTATGTACTGCCACACTGCATGATGCAAAGCCATAAAAGAAAAATCTAACTGACTTTCATGGAATCTAACAAAAGATACCAGAAAAAAAAAAAAAAAAAAAAAATCACTATTTTGTCAAACAAAATAATGCACTATACAGTGAAATCTGGTTTGCAATTTGATACTAAGCAAGAAGATAGCAGTAAGATTTTCTTTTTCCAGACATTCCACAAGCCAGGAACATAGTCTTCTCCTAACTTTTAAAATTGTTTTTTTAAAAATTGTTTTTTATTATTTGTATCGTTTTCTTACAGAAGGATAAAAATATTTCCTAACTTCCCATAGAGGGAAGCAGTAGTCTTCAGATTCAAACTCTGGAGCCTATCAAAATGAGAACCCAGAAGATTAAAAATAAACAAGACACCATTCATGAACATATACTAACATACAGATATGCCACAAATATTGACAGCACTGAACTAAATTTAATAACAAACAACATATGGATCTAAACAGCATGAAAACTAGGCATAAAGACATCAAACCAATAAGCTAAAAATTAAACATTTAAGAATAAGTTACATAAATGTAGACATTAAAAGCTTGAAGCCAAAATATTTTTTGAAATACTACTACTGAAGTTGAAGCTAATTTACTAGCCTTCATCAATATGTGCAACACTTGAAAGTAAGTACAGCTGATCAGAAAACAAGAGCCTGGAGTATTTTTATACTACAAAATCATATTTAGTGCCATTGGTCTAAAAGGAAGCCTACACAAAAAATTTGATAAGCAGTCTTAATACCAGTCTGTGCAGGAGTATGAAGACATCATTCAAATGCCTGGCAACACAAATCAGAGAGTAAATACTGTGTAAAGATATCCCCAAAATGTTCAAGTCTAAAAGGTGAAAGCTCTCACTTTGAGAAGTTTGCTATAAGTGGGGACTAATTTCTACAGAGAAGGCATAAATGAAGCGATGACACGGTGGTCAAACAGCCAACAGATTCTGGTACATATTTATGTACATTTCTATATAATGAAAATAAATCTTAGAGAACTAAGTAAAGCAGAATCGTATCATTTCTGCCTTGGAGAACTTTCCTCTATGGAAGGAAGCACATTACCATTTATGTTCCAAAATCTGGAATCCCTCTTTACTTCATGTATTGGAAGTTTCTTACCATGCAAGAAAACCAATCCCAAGGGTTTGAAGCTTTCTTTTGCTCTATGCTGCACAAAGTGGAAATCAACATGCAGCCTAGCAAAAGAGCAACGTGTGTGCAATTCATTCATGCAACCAATATGTTAATTAATACTGAAGAACTTGAACCGAATGACCAAATGCCAAAGCCATGAAGCAGCACATAACCCAAACATGGTAACTGTGGCAGCTAAACACACACTGCAATGACAGATAAACGTTCACCTTGATAAGCTAATACTTATCATTCCATAAACTTGTAGACAGTTTACATTAACATGGTTTTTTATCTTCAGAATACACTGAAGGTTAAGTATTAAGGAATTTACTGGTGGTGAAATTCTCATGTTCCAGAGCACTGGCTTTAGCCTCTGACTGCTGTTCAAGCTTCTCCACCATCTCTTTCAAGTAGTTCTCATCTTTGAAATAATACACATACAAGTTTCTTTCCATCTGATGCAGCTTATTGGACGCTAAGAAGTTTCTCTTTGACTTCACATCAGCAGTAAGATCCATAATTAGTTGATTTAGTTTATTTAAATCACCTTCCAGTTGATGAAACTGCTCAGTAAGCTCCTAACAAAAGATAGACAACACAAAAATGTTATTTTTGTATCATTAATACACCAAAAGACTTTCATATTTCTAGTTCAATTGCTTTTGGAAGCCTTTTTTTTTTTTTAAAAAAAAAAAAAAAGTGAAAAATCATTAAAAACAATATTGTATGATAAATCCTGTATATGTAGCTGTGGATCTGCATGTATCTGCATCAGGTTATGAAAATGTAATTTAATTTCCTTCCTTACTAAAACAGATGAATTAAGACTGTAAGAACCTGTCCTCCAACTATATAGATGGTTGAACAACATTGCCTATCATGTCTTCATTACTAGTCAAAAGGGAAAAAAATCAAACAGAAAAGCAATTTAATTTTAATATGAGATAACTGCAAAATACAGTTCTCCTAATTGTCATTCTTATGATAGTTCAGGGTAGGCAGGTTAGTTACCTACTTGCACATTATTTCCCTATAAGAACTATTTTTCCTGATACCAATAGAAAAATGTGTCACTGTTTTAAGTCACTTGGAGCAATAAAGAGTACACTGATGGAGGCAAAAACCTTTAATCCCTAAGAAGGCATTGTTCTAATTACAAAGAATAATTTATTTGTAAGACTGTTATGTATGTTGTGAATAGAGTCAAATATTATTAATTATATATTATTCATTCATTTTCTAATGCATGTAAGTAAGGATTGTGGAACAAGTGAAGGCTTCTGTTGCATTTTTCAGACATCTATAGTTGCTTACTATAACAAAATTGCATTTAACCTTATTCCCCTTCCAAAGCAGCTGCAAAAGCCATCCAGGAGCTCTGTCATAGAATTGTCCTACAAAAATATCCTTCAAAAATCCCAAAATTCTTACTTCCTACATATGAGCCAATACAGCCAGACCATTTTAAGGGGCGAGACCATTATATTCAGGTGAATATTTATATGAATTTTCCTGTGACACCATAGCCAGAAGACATTTTCCACACCATAAACCTATACATGACTGTAACTGCCTTTGAAAAAAATAAGTGTTAGATGCCACCATTGCTTCAAAAACCAATAAATTATTCCCTGCCAACCTATGCAAAATCCCACACTTGCTAAGAACAACACCACCACCCGCCCATCATCATTACGCTACTAAGTTTGTTGATGACATGTTGTGGCCATTTTATGCCTACAGCCCTTATACCTGTCTCAGTAAAAGAGCACAACAGGCATGGATACAATCATTTAATGACGACATGAGGACATACCCGACTGGTGAGTAGTATCTGATTTCCTCCGCAGTACAGAGCATCACGAAGAGCATTTACATCACTGTCCAGTTTGGACAACAAGAGAGACTGCTCCTGAGAAGACACTGCTAGCTGCTCTTCTGCTGTCACACAATCCTGATTTAATTTCTGAGCCATCTGTTCCAGGTTTTTGTATGTTTTAAACAGTTGTTTTTTGTTTTCTCCTTCCAAAAGCTGGTAGAGCCTGGAACAAATGAAGTTAGACACAAGCATTTTTAAGTTACTTAGCATTCCTGGCATTATCTCAACTTCATGTTGAGAAGTTCAAGAAATATGTAGATATGTTATTACAGAATATGGTCTAGTGGGCAATACTGGTGGGAGGTGGATGCCTGGATTAGATGATCTTAGAGGCCTTTTCCAACCTTAATAATTCCATGATTCTAAATTAGATTGAGGACCAGCAAAGTACATAAGTTGTAAGAGTACTGCTGATATAATGCTGTATCTGCCACTGATATGTACATAGGTCATGAGTGATCCACAGGACTCCGAAATATTCCAAATGGCAAGCAACAGCAGTGAAATATGTTCTTATTAACTGTGACTTTAATAACGATGCCAACTCATTCAAGAGGATGACAACACACTCTTTCGCAAACTATTTCCTACACTTCAAGGACAGCAGTGTTGAGAAAATGCCAGAACTCCATGGCCAGTGAGAAATTAAAAAAAAAAAATCTTTATGAAATTTTAAAACTTACTGCTTTCTATCTATGGAAAGACCACTAAGGAATTCTACACTGGGTTATGAGTCATGCAAAAGACAGCAATATTTTGCTATAACTAAACAGAACCATAACTTAACACTACATCAGGAACAGTCACTTCTCTCACTGCTGCTAACTTGATCAGTTGCTACTGCCACCTCTGCATATTAAAGTCTCCAGAATTTGGAGAATCATTGAGCCTCAATTAGGTATCAGAGTGCTTTTAGGGAGAGAAGCACTATTTCAAAGGTAACTGAGTTTATTTCATCTACTGCTCATAAACCACTCAGGATTTACAACTCTGTCATGAGCAACAAGGCCAGCCTTTTTAAAGAATAAAAAACCAAACAAGCAGTCAATAAACATTGTTACTTAGTCACAAAGAATCTCAATAATAAAACGTTACAGCTTTTCAACACAGACACAACTTGGGTAAAATGAATCCTACCTGATTCTGCCATTCACTGCTCAAGACTAAATTATCATCAGTCAGCTACTAAAAAAGCCACTTCAACAGTTTAAACAAGGGGTAAAAGCCTAATATCACCTATAATTATAGAACACACCTAATGAAAAAGTTTAGGTACCTCGAAGTGACCACAACACAGTACATCCTACTGTACCACCTGAGATACAGGAAGACTGAATCACTTCGATGGTGAAAAAAGTCCTATATGGGCAACAGGATGCAGGTGGCAAGTCAAGCAGTACCAATGAGCTAAACACATTTCTTACATCCCAGGAGTTGTTCCTCTCCTCCATCACATAGAGAGTTTTGTAGGCTGAGCAGATGAGGCCATGGATATTGCCTGGGATATTACTGCTACTAACAGCTCTCTGCACCTGCACTTCTGGAAAAGCCTTCAAGATGTCTGATTTTGCTAAACATTCATTACATTCTCAATATTGCTTAGAAATGCTTTGGCAATGTTAACATCTCATAACTTGAAAGCTTCAATTCTGGAGAATTTCAAACATTAAGTAGCTATGGCAAGTAACTAATAACAATTGAGAATGCTTTGCTTACCTACATCTTCCCAACTTAATTAAAAAAAAAAAAAAAAGTCAAGGTTCACTTTAACACTTACCTACAAGAGAAATCATCCTTTGAACTAATGGCGTTCCTTGGCTTTGCAAGTTCAGTTTGCTTAGATAACACCTCTAGTCTCTGCTGCATCTCATTACTGCTCTGTTTCAGAGATTCTATCAGATTCTCAAGTTGACAGTGGATGTCTTTGTGTTTCTTCAATTCCGTGTCATAGGCTAGCTGAATAAGTTCAAGTGACGCTTTCTGTCTTATCAGATGGCTGCAGATCTCATCCTGTTTAGAAGCGAAATGGTCCTGCTGAGCAATCTCACGATCCAGGGCAGCCATTACCACCGGCGCAGTGAACAGCTGTGCATGCTCTTTCAGAAGGGAAGGCAGATCTTTGTTGTTTATTTCAGCTATCTGTTGCTTAATCGTAGAGATTTCATCATTTAAACTAGACATTTTGGCCTCGACATTTTCTTGCTTTTCAATACCCTGCATAAAGCAAAACATATCAATCCCTTCACAGTTCCCTCAGATTTTTGTTCACCTTTCTTCATTCTGCTTTCCTAACACATTTCCTCAGGTCACACAAGAATCATGTACTCACATTAAGATCAAAGCATCATCACAATTAAATGAGAACTCTGCAAGCAGCTTTACAGACTTACTTCACAATATACAAGGCAAATACAGATTTAAGATGGTAGGCATTGCATATATTTCGAGAAATAATTAAATCTGCTCTACTGCAGAGCCATGAAACACTTCATCACAGAAAAACTGCATCTGTATTTTAGTTCACACCTAGATTTCAACCAGATCTAACTGAAATGGCAGATGCAAAAAAGTTTACATTTAGCCAGATGACTATCAATACTGCCCATCAGAACTAACCTTTTTCAAATGACTCTAACCAGTCAAGCACAACATGCCTGTCCACAAATGACAACATACCAACGTAATGCCTCAAGTTAGTCCATGACTGCAGTATAAGCTAATTTTCCTCCTTCTTTTACAAATCCCTCACATTCGTAAATATCACATCTGCCCATCACTCGATGGGACACCTGTGGGATTTCAACGACACAACTCATTGTTTTGGTATCTAAAACATATCAACATTGTGTCTCCACGTTATAAATTCCCAAGTCACTGAACTAAAACCTGGAGGTTTTTTTTCCCCTATAGGAAATATTAACAAGAATATATATCACAGTAGCCTCCATAAGCAAAATTTAAAGTTAAGGTTTTGATTACTGTACAAAACAATGGAGACAGTTATAACTTGAAATTGCAGAGTTTAACAAAATTAGAAAGGTACTGCGAAGAACCAGTTTTTTAATGCAATAAACTCCAGAATGTAGAATTCAAGGTACTCTGTCATACTGAAAAAACTCCTAAGCTAGCTCCTAGTCACTGGAGCCACTTTACAAGCACAAAACTAAAACCTCAGTAAGTGCAATTCCACTATGTAAAAACAGTAGAACTAATAATTCAAAAGCATGCTTCTCTCCGTTTAAAACTCTACAACCTTATAAAGCCATTTGCCACTTACCTTGCTCTTTGAGGATTGCAGCATGCTCTCTGCACACTCTATAGCTGAATTCAAGCTCTCTTCTTCAGCTTGCAAATCAATTAGCTGACGCTGAGCACAAATGTACGCTGCCTGGAGGCTGGCAATCTCCTGACTCTTTCCACAAGCTTCAGTAGTCTCAGCACAAGTGACACGTTTGCTAATATCTGCAAGCTCAAAGTTGTCTTCGTGCAAATTTTCAGCCAATTCTGACATGCTCTGATAAAAATGCTTTTTTGCATATGAGGCAAGTGCTGCAGTGCAGTGCTCTTCCTGAGACAAATACTTGTCCAAGGAAAGCTGGGAAAAAAACACTGGATGCAAACCTGATCCTTGTTCTGAAGCCGAAGCAGTGAAGAAAGAGGCCAATTTCTTGACTCTATCCACAAGAGACTGCAGTTCATTATTAAGCTTATTATTTGCTGCAGTAAACAGTTCCAGACCTTCTTTCAAATCTCTCTGCGTTTCTTCCTCTTTGATTTTTAGTGTCTGTAACATGCTGCTGTTTTCAGAAATCATCATCTGAAGCTTATTATGCCGATGGATTGTAAGACTTTTCACTTTCTGAAGAGTTTGAAACTCATCCTCTAATTTCTTAAGTTCCTCTTCCTTCTCTTGTCTGTTGCCTGAATCTGCTGGCTTACAGGTTTTAAGGGCTTCATCCAATGCATTTCCTTCTAAAATGGGCTTTCCAGACTCGAGAAGACTATTAAAATCTTGCAGTTCTTTTTCAGATAACACATGCTGCTCATTTACAGTTCCACAAAACCACTCCAGAAATGATTTGTCTTCTGAAGACTCAAACAGCCAGTCAAAATCCTCTCCATTGAGCTCAACGGCTTTTGGATATCCAATTTTCTTAAGAATTTCCACAAACTCCTTCCCACAGCTCATGATTTAAGTATTTTGGAAGCAGAAAAGATTCAAATATGTGGAAAATTTCTAGGGGATTATTCTAGCGTGGGCTTTTTTTGGTCATTTTAAGGGAATACTCAGTATTCTAACACAGAAGTGTGTGCATAGGAAAGTGAAAGTAGCAGATCACACCACAGAACTGAACTCTACCATGGGCTACAATTGTTAGTAAGACCAGAAAGCAATTTCTATTTCAAGGATGTCTTAGGGCATTCCTGTCCTGATCTGATAACCAAGACGTTTCTTGACAACAATTACATCCCAAATATTTGCAAAAATATATCGTTTTGCACAGCGAAGGTGACTTTAAGACTGAAGTCGAATTTCACCATTAATTCTAAACTAACAGATCCACACAAATAGCGCGCACATCGTTGCCCTGCTGGAGTGTCTCACTTTGATAGCTTCCCACACCCTTAATTTAAGTCGTTTTAACTCCTCCAAAACGAGGAAAGCTTTCAGTCTGCCCTAAAAATAAAGCTAGAAGACACCAAACAAAAACTCAAACTCTCATTTGTATCTTTTACTTCAGCAGCGAACAGAATCTTGTCTTCTAAGGCTTCGTCTTTATATTTCCCTCTGAAAATAGAGCAAGAAGTCCTTTACCATACAAATACCAAAGCAATTACAAGAAGGTCACTCGGAGCACGCACTCTGTGGCACAACCAGGCACCGAAAGGCAGCCTTCAGACCAACAGCCCCGACGGGACGCAGGGGGCCGCTTCCCTCAGGACGAGGAGCAGGCAGCGTTACTCACCACGGCGCGGTGCCCCAGCGGCAGGCGGGACGAGCCGCAGCACTAAGAAGCGCTCGGGCAACCCTCCGCGAGGCAAGGGAACGGCGGCGGGCTGCGAGAAGAAGAGGGAGGGGCGGGCGGCCGTTATGGCGCCAACGGTCAAAACACCCGCCGCGCGCCGCTCTCGCGCAGCCTCCATCCGCTGAAGCCTACTGCGCACGCGCGCATCTGCTCCTCGCGAGCCGCCTGCCTGTCGCAGAGGCGCGTGCGCGCCGCGCCGCTCCTACGGGGCAGACCTACGCGGGGCTTGGCCGGAAGCCGCCGTGACGTCATGCGGGCGGGTTGCCCGCGCGAGGCGGCCGTTAGGTGTCTGGTGTGGCGTTCTGTCAGCGCGGGTTTCGGCCTCCGTTCTCGTTGTGGCCGCTCGTGTGCAGCCCTGTACCGCAGCCTGTGGCTTTCCTGCTGTCCCCCAGCGTAAAAGGAGGGTAGCGGTGTCTGCCATTTAACGCGGCTCGGTGCTGAGCAAACGGCACCGGACTGCGGTGTTCGGTGCGCAGCCTGAAGCTGAGCAGTGCAGAGGAGGGCCTGGCGTTTGCCGGTAGAGCCGTCGTGCTTGCAGTGGAATTGGCCTGTGAAGCTGCTCTCAGAAAACAAACAAACAAAAAACCCTGCAACTAAATTTTATACTTTTGTAGTGTTTTTAATAGGGAAAATTATACTGAGGCAGCTGGTGATGCGAACAGGCGGTAAATGCTGGGTGGGGGAACACTGGAAATGCCTGGCTGGGTCAGCGGTGCTGCTGACCGGTCCTCTGTGACAGCAGAGGATTGCTCAGCACAGACCTGGCCACCTGTAGAGCCCATAGGCACTGTGTTGGTGCTTTGCTCATGTCTGCTGCTTTCATCTTTTCATGGTCTTGACCACCAATTTGTCTAATCCCTTTTTGAACCTACTGATGCCATCCAAAGCTTTGCAGGCCAACGAATGCCAGAGCTTCACTAGCTGCTGCTTTGAAAATACACTTTCTTTGGTGTTTTTTTTTTTTAAAAAAAAACTATTGCTTCCTTCATTTCATCAAATGACTATTGGCTCTAGCACTGCAGGATTAGGTGAACATCGGCTCTGCATTTATCTTGCCTCTTGTCTGCCTAAAAATTTAGAAATCACAAGTAAATATTCCATCAGCTTTGTCCTCTGCAATATGAAGAATTGCAAAATTGGACCTTTGCAAGGAAGTGCTTGATTACTTCAATTGTCTTTTTTCTGCACCTTCCACATTGTTGCTGTGCATTTCTTCATAGGATCATAGCATGGCTTGGTTTGGAAGGGACCTCAAAGCTCACCCAGCCCCAACCCTCTGCTATGGGCTGGTTGTCCCACCACATCAGGCTGCCCAGGGCCCATCCAACTTGACTTGGCTTTGAGCACGTCTAGGGATAGGGAACCCACAGCTCTCCGGGCAGCCTGTGCCAGGGCATCACCACGCTCTGAGCGAAAACAATTCCTCCTGATGTGTAATCTAAATCTCTCCTCTTTTAGTACAGAACCATTCCCCCTTGTCCTGTCACCATCAACCTGTGTAAAAAGTTGATTTTCCTCCTGCAAATGTTGTTTTCCCCTCTCATTTCTTGAGATGAAGAGACAAGATGCACACAGGCCTCAGGGCACGGATGCGCCAAGAGATTTTGTAGCAGCAAAACCCTACCTTCTGCTCTGGTTCCCATGCACTTCCTTATGACACTTGCAGTTTTCTTTTCAGCTTTTTGGCTTACTCTGCCTGTTGAGGCAACAAACACCTCTTAGCAATGATTGCAGGACCTTTTGTGAGGGCTTTTTCTGAGTTTAGAATCAAGTAAAGTTTTTACTAACAACTGGAGCACCTTTTGTTAGACAATCCTTAAATTTAGCTGCTTTCATTTCCTGTTTATGTTTCACATGCCACGTTTTTCTGGTCTTTCCTATTTGCCTCACCTTAGCCTCCTTTACTCTCTCACTGAGTCATGCAGGAGGCTTTGAAACAGTGTTTCCTATTTGTATCAGGCGTTTTACCTGGGCTTCTAATGCAAGATTTTTAAGCCTTCTTGGTGCCTTTAGGCTACTTCCTTTTGTACTACTTTTTAGGTGGTTGCAGGGTTGGGGTTTTTTTGACAACTTCTTCCCCATTTTTACGTAGTTTGTTTTCTTAAAATTCAGCATTTGTTTGCTTTATTTGCCTTGCTTTCTGTTGTTACACCATGCAGCTTAATTATGTTGTGGTTAACATCAGAGAGCACCTCTCCCACTAATAGCTCTCAAATCAGATCCTTCTGAAGACTAAATTCAGAGCTGTGTTTTTCCTTGTGGCTTCCAGGGCCAGTTATTCTAGAAATAAGTTGCATCCAGAAATTCTATCTCTACATTTCACCCTGGTGAGGCACTGACCCAGTCTGTATGTGGGTGGTTGAGCCCTCCCACTACGTGTCCTAAATGTGCAGCTCCTCTAATCTCACTTAATGCAGCTGTTGAAATGAATCAATGTGGGGAAATGAGCAACCTCTCAGCACAGCTAAGGCTGATTTGCATGAGTTTTTCAAGATCAAAATCAGCACCTGAGTCGCCTGCAAAGTGCAGTATGGTGATTGGAAGCTTAGTGCGAGACACATTCGTGCATTAAACCCTGACCTGGCAGAGATGGGTAAAAAGAGCTGTAGTAGTGAATTCTTTGCCATCAGATTCAGCTTGATACGCAGGTGCAATTAGGCTAGCTGAAGTTTTCATATTGTCTTATGCATAGAGTGTGTTGTGTCCTTCTGATGGGGAAGGAGCAAAAGCATTCACTAGTATACTTCAAGAGACAGTGCTGTTTCAGTTCAGTTACTTGCACAAAAATGATCCTATAGCTGTGTTTTGGAGGCTCGTGCTTCACACTACTGCACTGCTTAGTCTGTTCAATAACATCCATATCATTGTTTCTCGTATAAAAAATATGACAGCAAAAGCAAATTTTGTATTTTTTTCATCTAGAAACTTTCCTAAAATTCCTCTGACCTGAGAGCAATCAAGCTCTGTAATGGAAGGCCACATCCTAGACACAGGAAGATGTTATATCTGAAAGAAGAGGATTTCATACAGTTCCTGGACTTCTGCAGCTCTACCTTCAGATCCCTGTGTGAGCAGCTTCTCTCATTACTTGCTCCCTCCAGACTCAAGCACTCCCTCCTGTCCTTACACAAAACACCATCCGCATCTGCTTAGCTGGGGGACCAGGAACGTACTGCAATTCTGAGCTGGTCTGGAGCTGCACAGGTGCTGGGCAGCAGCCACCTTGTGGAACAGTTGCCTCAGTCATGCCAGCCTTCGAGCTCAGGAAGCAATTTGGTTCTCTTTCTACCCAGACATGAAATTTTCATGGAATTTATCACCACTGATTATCATTGCAGCCTCCATCCTATCTCTGCTTTGTCAAATTTGGTCAGAATTAGCCTGAAGGTTCAAAAGTTATCAAGGAAAGAGGGGGGGAACAGATGGATGAAAGAGGAATTGACAGACAGCATGATCTCATAATCCCCGCTGGCATAGGAATTCAGGCTAGAATTGAAATATTTTAGGTCAGAACACTGTGCTCTTAAACTTCTCATTTTGAAAGAACAAGCTTCTAATGTGAAACAAATTTTCATTTGTTAGACCATAGACCGGCTTTTAGGGGCAGAGATTAAACAACAGCCTTCCCCTACAAACATGTTACAATCGTATCTTTGACTTTTCTTACAGTCCTTTTTCCCATCCAGCCACAGCCCCATATGCTTCAGTGTTTCCTTCTGCAGCTCCTTATGGGTCAAGAATGTTTTTCTCTGATTCATTTTTTTCTCGGTTGTGTTCAGTCAAAACATAATTAAAGGCTTACCTTACCCTTTTTTTCCATTCCAGGAGCAGTTGTTTTGCATCTGTGTCCGAGCACCAGAGAGGCTGCCTAGATAGCGTGTTGTATTTACAAGCCATTTTATGGTGGATTCCAACAGATTAAGACAGAGACTTTTCTGGAAGGATGTCTGCAAGCTCTGCACTATCCCACCCGTGCCATGTTGCATTTGTTTCACTGCAAAACATGATGTAGTTGTGTCTGGTGCTCACTTGAGAAGCTATCGATTACCCACTGGCCCAGGCTGTGAAACACATATATAGGCTTCACAGCTGGTGAATATAAACCCTCCCACTGAGATACATCTGTCGTGAAGAGCTCACATAAAAGTATTTTGCTTATTATCGTTTTAGGTTTGGGGTTTGGTTTGGCTAAATAACAGCGAAGATGTAGAAATAAGTTTTTAGGTGGTGTAGCAGTGTGGAAGCTTTTCCATTATGCAGCATGCAGGTTTTTAGCCAGTAGCAGCAGGATTTTAGAGGGGCCAATGCAGATTGCAGGAGTGCCAGCCACTCTTTGGAAGCACTCTGTTAAAAGAAGATCACTGCTTTAAGCAAACTCAGGCTCTGAATTAAGCACAGCTTTTGAAGTGCCGTGTGAACTGTTATGATAATAAAGCCAGAATACAGAAATTTGGCACCAGCTCGCTGGCTCTCACAGGCACCTGTATTGTCTCTGGAGGAACAGATTTCATTCCGAAACCTTGTGTTCCCAGAAAAGCAGGTCACAGTGATTAGCTTTCTTCAGGCTTTATTGGATACGATGCCATAAGTAGAAAAAAAGCACCTATACGATTGGACTGACACTGCTGATGTTATTTAGACATACAATGCACAAAGTTATTCTTTTCTAAAAAACCTGTTTACTCTTCTGGCCCTGTTTTGGATTAAAAGTCCAGCAGGATGGGAAAGCACCAGCCTGCTCCTGCCACCACCTCACGCTGCTCTGCCTCTGCCGTCGCGTTCCAGCTTCTGCACACCAGGGCAGTGGCTGCTCTGCACAGCAGCGACACAAAGGAGCAGGAGCTTCTGGAGGCTTTGTGGAGAGCTGCTCCCTCAGCCTGGGGAGCTGACACCTTAGTGAGCAAAAGGAAATGGACCCCATAGCCGTGGCAGTCTCTGCTATCACAAGCCCAGTCCTTTCTGGCACTAGTAATTTCAACCCTCCATTCCTTGCCTGTCCATCCATCATAATCATACCATTCTTGCCATGCTGAGGT